CTCAGTATTACGATGTAATAAGTAAAACCACGGATCCCGGTAGTCGGGTGATTTCTCACGATACTCGATACGTCCCGACTGATATTTTTGCATTCCGGAAGTGAGCACTTTTCATTACTTCCTGCTGTCCATAAGCGTATGATGGACCAAAGGAAAGTCGTTGAACGCAAGATTAATGTTATCGCCGATTAGTTTGTCATTCATTGTATCCGTATTATTCGCTTTGCGAATGGGAAATGAATGCGTTCGCACATCATAATAAAATTAACAATTCTCCCTCATTAATAAAGAAAGGTCTTTGACAAAGTAAATATCATAAATTTACATCCTTCAAAATATATCGAATCATTTCAATATGGGCAATAAACTTGCGACCCGTTTTCAAGAGGTTTGGCACCTATAAAACGAATAACTCTTCCAGGAAATTTAATTTGATATATCTCTGCACCCATCTCTCTAACAAAAAAAAAACGGTAAATTATTAAAAGTGACTGAGCTATTATGATAATGTTAGACGTTAAGCCGTAATCACACTAGCGATCGAGCGATTGTGATTGACGATTGAGGATTACTTCTCAACCAATCGGAGCAAAGCAATCGGTGACTGCTTTATTCTAATTGGTTGAAAAGTAATCCTCAATCGTCAATTACAATCGCGTAATCGCTAGTGTGATTACGGCTTTAGATCAATTACTAAAGCCCATGACACATAGAAAAACGTAAGGCCGTAAACGTAATCAGTAAGCGAATTGACCAATCATAGTTGAGAACGTAAGCGGCGGCTGTTACGTTCTCAACTGTGATTGGTCAATTCGCTTACTGATTACGTTTACGGCCTTACGTTTATCTCGGTTTTTCTATGTGCCATGGGCTTAAAGCAGCCTGAAATAAAATCTTTCGATTCAATGAAAATCTTGTGCGTCATTTTTAAGAATAGTTGAAATTCTAAATTCTTTCGAGTAACACGTACAATCAGTTAAAAACGTTCATTATTATACGAGTTGATCCTCTATGGAAATTAGTTTATTCATTGTATGCATTCGATGTAAATTTAGTGTAATGTGTGTAATTTTTGAGAGGTAATTATGTTTCAATCTTAATGCAATGCTAATAATTCGCAACTATATATCTGTTGCAATTCGTAGCTGTTGCTCTACATAAGTACGAACCGATTGCATTCTGATATTGCAACGTATGAGTTATACGTTCGGATGTTGCGTTATAGGCGACTGTGTATAAACGTTACGCGACATATATAGCAAGTGTATAGATAACAATTTGATACGGCTATCTTGATGACCGCAACTACTTTCCAAACGTTGCACGATCCTCTAACTAATCCGAAAACTCGTCCGAAAAGAAAGTGAACGAGCATGATGCACTCGACGATATAAAATTGACTCAATTTTATTCTCCACTTTCGATTTCCTCGTAGATGGAATCGCGTCGTTTGCCTTCTCGACGAAGAAGGCGAGGGATTGCTTTTCGCAATCGAGATACCCTCCTCCTCGTGGCCCAAATTCCTCGAGGTCAAATGAAAGGGATACTATCTTTTGTCTATGTAAACTGGATTTTTATATTGGGAGTACAAATTAGTCTGTTTTCCAAAAGATGATCGTCTCCAAAGACGAGCCATTTTTTCGAGATGAAATTCGAAAATTACCTGAGAGATGGGAAAAATTACTAGCCAGCGATGGACGATACTTTAATTAATCTGTTCATTCATTTTGTTTTGAAAAAAAATGCATTTTTGAACACAAAAAATGGACCGAACTAATTTGTACACCTAATAACATCTTTATAGGATAATTTAATATCCGTTATTTGCTCAGTTTGTCTCTAGGATTGTGAAATGCATCTTAAACTCCGATCTCATTTTTTTTGCATAGGATTTAACTTTGTTAGTACAGTAACAATTAAGGTAAGCAAATTAGACGGTATGCAGAGTTCTTTCAGTAGTTCACGTAAATTGACTCTCTATTTATTTAGGATAATTTAACATTTTATTATCCTCTCTCTCTCTCTCTTTCATATAAGTTATTATTAAATCGACTTCTCCACAAAAAATTTCTTTTAGCACAACCAAATAAAGTAGATAACAATAAGATAAATAAAATGTCGCACTGATAATACGAGTACAAGCCCCAAATTCGTTCCTGCAAGATTAAGGAAAAAACGACGTTGTATTATTCACGCGATTTCTAGTTCTATAATTTAGCATAAGCCAGTCATCTCAAATAATTACTCACTCTTTCATCTTTCATTACAGCTATTGTCTGATATTAACATCGTTTTCTGAAATATTCGTTTACGCTTTGCAATTTTTCGCTTTTGCGCGAATTTGTAAATTTGATTTAAAAAAATTTATGCAAAGTAAAATTAATTGGATGTCATACTGAGAACGCGAATAATGACCTAAACTCTTATTCTATTGTTCGGCCGATTTCTAGGTGAAAGCATTTTTTTTTCTATAACTTATTATATTCTGAACGTTTAGATGTTGCAAAGATATCGTACCTCTTTTGCATTATATTTAGATCATATTACGCACAAGAGCTTTTAATCTTTTTTTGAAATAAACCTTTGCATAGCAATTACAATCGTATTAATTCTATAATATGCTACTAGATAATTTTCTATTTATTATCACTATTGATATTTATGTAAATTAGTATACTCATAATTATTATAATTTATTTTTTATTATATAATTTGTACATTTATGTAATTTAATTTTATAATCTTATACTTTTTTGGTACATACAAATGACTTATAAAATGTCACAAAATAAAGATACGTGACAAGTTTGAAAATAAAATTAATTAAATTTTATTCAAGAGTAAATTTAAAACTTAGAGAACAATATACACAGCATCCGAAAGTTGCTGGTGTTACATGTATTTATCCAATTGTGTAAAGAGATATTTATTGGAGAGGAAAGGAATAGAATGCTAACATTCTTTAAAAATTCTCGTAAATTGATAGCTATTATGGATAACAATGCAAAGATGCGCAAACGGTATACTTGAACACGATGTACATTCCATAATTACTTAATGACTGGATGAATAATTTTCGATCACAGTCGATCAGAATTCATAAACGAAGCAGCACAATAGATCCGTTCTTTATAGCGTAGCTACATGAATCTCGTAATAATCGTATTCTCGCGGTTATGACCTATGAAACTGTCAGTACTGCACGAAGATCGAATATATTACTCGGTTAGAGAGATCATTATTCCTTATTAAAACAGTGAGACACGTGTTTTTAATTATTTCTCTTTTACTGCCGCGTGAAATTCGTTGCTTTCGTTAATCCTGAAGATTTCTCCATCCGAGCTAATTTCTTCGATTCGCGATTCTTTTGATAAAGTTTCTTCCATGAAATGTAATCTCAATAAAGATAGATCTCACACACACACACACACACACACACCATATATATACAAAATACGTTTTTTAATAGAAAGAAAAAACTATTACAATTGCTCTTGTTAGATATTTTTCTTTGAATGTTGCTATTTAATATTATAAATAGAAAAAAATCAATAATTTTAAATATAAATGATATAATTAAAGTGTACAAAGACTTTGTAAGTTTCTATTTCCAATTATATTATAAAGAAAATTAATTCTAGTATAATCTTTTTCTAGGAAACTAGCTTTTTACTAAAACAAATTGAGATACTTTTGATAATACATTTCAGTCGGACATTCATATTTTAATATTTATATAGACTTGGGTTCTTAACTCATTTAATTGAATCAAAGTTAATTATATGTTAATTTTTAATAACTTTGCTGTTTTATATTTACTATATTTAAATATCAAGAGGTTGCAGAACATAATTTAAGATCAATTTACATAAGTAGCTTCCGTGCATGCTATTATCTTTTTTATAGCTTTATTTAATTTATTTTAATGATCTTGTTTTCTCTAAATGTTTATAATTTTATATTCCGTCTTATAATAAAATAGCTATATAATAATACTAACAATTCAAGATTGATGCCATAAATGTTAAGATGATTAAAGTTAGCATTAAATTGATTAAAGTTTAACTATTTGTAAATCTTACTTTGAGCTATATATTTAAATTATATATTTAATAATCTAAATTTTAATTAATTTTTTTTAATCAAAATTTACATCTCACTGTTTTGCATCATCACAATTCTTAAAATTCTTGAAATGAAATTTTTATAAATTATAATATCTTGAGTTTGTAAATATTGCAATTTTCGAACTGCGACGAATTAATTAGAATCTCTTTCAAAATTTTGGCATTGGAACTCTTGGGAGAGTTTCGAATCTGTCCGGAGGTCGTCAACCCTTTCTTCTGCTTTTTAGTTTTTTCGCGATCAGGAGAGGATTAGCTTCTGCGCGAAACACGTCCGTGGATACGGTACGTTTAAAAGCTTCTGACACGAGTCTATTCGGCGTTTAATCCGATGCAGCGAAACTTTCTTTCCGGGATCGCCCCCGTCATACTCGCGCGCGTATATTCAACGCCGCGCACTCTCGTTTCTCCGCGCGATACGGCAATTCTCAGTTTCATGCATGCGTGAACTCATCGCGACGGTTAATTTCGATTCTTCATTTTCACATTTCGCTTCGCCGAGGGTGTGGCAAAAAATTATATAATCCTATGATTTCTTAATTGCACCGGCGCGGCGCGCGGGTAAAGTATTTCTTTCATCCGCTCGCAAATAATAGACACGGCTCTCTTTTCTTCCTTTGTTATATTCAACGACGATGAGAAAAGATGTTGTCGAGCGACGAATTTTATTTCGTTAATGACACTAAATAGGCAATGATATCGTCCTAATTACGTTCTCAAAAGGAAACTGTGATTTTAAGTATTGTGATTAAGAATAAAATGTCAAGAGCGCAACGGAGTTTTAAGTACTGTAGCTCGACTTTGCTGTCCACTGTTTTGCGCTAATTACCCCCGCACTTTATTCTCATATTTATAAGACAAAACTTTCTGTTTCAGCGATGTGACGCAACCAGTCAGGAATATTTTTATGCAAAATGACTCGCGCCCTTGTCCTTCTCTGCATGGCCATCATTCTACCTCTCGTACGATGCCACAAGGTAAGATCCCAGTCGAGTATCGTCAAGACGCCCAAGGACATCGTTATCCCGTGCAATTACCTCTTTAAGACAAAGAATACGCGTACGTCCGTGCGCGCGTGCAAGAGGATAATTCCCCTGAATTAAAGCGAACGGCCGCAGAAATGCGACGACGACTCTAATTCAAGTTAATCACGTCGCTGCGAGGTAAATTCACGGTACGCGAGCAGCGTCTTTTGATTTATGGTACGTTCGTGTCTCTATTTACTCGAGTAACGTACCCTTCTCTCTTCTTTCGTCGTTTACCGCATTAATTTTGCGGAATATAATTTCAACGTGCATCCGCGTGCGTCTTGTTTTCAAGAAGTTTTTGGCGACAGCCATTCGCTTCATTCGCGCGACTTTAATTCACGTGCGGCTTTGCTTGAATATTATTTAGCGCGATTACAGCACGAGAGTGATTAATTAACTTCAATGCGTGTAATACGGGAAAGAAGGAATTAACGATGCCTCATAATTTCTCGCGTTACTAGCGCGGTGAAATGTTGAGTGTGCCGGTTATTTACGAGAGAATTATTCCGATAATCATCGATTATCGCGCTAGAATTCGCGCGGAACTTGAAAATGGTAGAAGACTTCTGCTGTATGTAATGTCCTTTCGGCTTATCTGTAGTTATTGCATACAATAAAAATTACAAATTGTATTCATGAACTTGTAATATCTTTCATTGTAATGAAGTAGAGTTGAATTTCTGTACTGATATGTGCGATCTTCAAACCTAGAAATACGCAATTATTTTTCTTTATTCGACCGTCGACTATTCAGACACAATGTACTTCTGTACATTTTATCTTTATATTCAATCGTTTTATTCAATTCTATTTATAATTTCATCTAAAATGTGCTTCATTTTGACACTGTAATTGTTGTAACATCTATAATTTTTGAAATTGTGGACAGTCTGAGATATCATCACCATTCAGCCATGCAACTGATTGAGTATGGATTTCTCACTTGACGTTTAGCCACATATTGAGAGATTATTTTGTGATACAATATCTTGATGCGTTGTGAAGTTGAATTATATTGAAATGCTGAAGATGACTCGAAGTTGAGTTGAAACGTTTGTCAAGGATCCATTATACGATAAAGATCATAAGGACATCACATAATTACATCCTTTGAGAGAACAAGTATATTTTAAGGTCTTTACCATAATGGATTAATTAATTTCGATTATTTGCGCTAATTTTTAACCAGTGTTGACTCCTATAGCCTTCATTGTGTATTACATTTATATTTTGTATTAATTTTATAATTAAAAGGAGTCTAAAACTATATATTAGTTTAGATTATATTTTGAATTATTTAATTATTTTTCTTTACTTTAAATTAATTAATAATTTAAAAAACTTTCGAGTCTATTTCGTTATTTATCAGACGCTATTTGTCAGATTTATTCTCAAGAGCGACGAGATGCAAATGCGAGACTTATTTCACGAAGTAAAGCTTTTTAACTGGAGATTAATAGCACTGACAATTTACATACGTGCCAATAGTAATTGCCTAATTAATGCTCATAATTAAAACAAGTGTGTAAAATAAAAGAGGATTACGATTAATGGCACGTTACAATTTAGCGCTCGTCGGTTGAGCGCGTCATCTTGTAGATAATCATCACAAGCGTGGTCAATGGCCGGTTCTTCCAACTTACGTAAGAACCTCGCGCACGAAATTGCGATAAAACCGTCGAACCGTTCTTCTATGTTGTTTAGCCACTTTGCCTTGCTTTCGATTTTTTTCGAGGAAATTTAAAATAATCACGCAACTCTCGTTAAGTCTATACGTGATAACGATACTGGCAACAAGAAAAGCCGAGGAAACGATAATCGAGATAAACATTAAAACAAAGATGTCGACAGTAAAGAAAAATGTTAGTTTCCAATTACTTAAAAATTTGCAACATATTATATTATACGAATTACACATAAAGTTTTGTTATTCTTGAATTGTTCGCGGAAATTAAATTTTGTACTAAAAACTTTTTATGAAAAGAAAATTTATGAAATAATAATCAAACAAAGAAAGGACAATAAGAGTCAGATAGTAAATAAAATAAAGCGCTTAAAACATTTAAATAACTTTAACTGTGTATATACATAGAATTAATTGAAATATAATAAATAAATTAAAAATACTTAGCCGGTTGTGATGTTGAAAATTTATGAGTCAGACATTCGTTCTGCATTTATAAGATTAATTAAATGACTATTGACGAACAATAATCACAGTAATATTTTTATCTAAATGTCTGGCGTAATTGTCTTGTATTATTCATAACTGTCAGAATATAATATGCACTTGTTGAATCACACAAAATCAATATAATTAATACTAAAATGCAACGGGAATTATGTCAGAGTTAAATCAGAAACGCGACACACGTATATAATAAGTCACTTAATCAATGGTTCGTATAGAGATTTCAATAAAATATATATGCCGCGGTAAGCGCGTGTTAAAAAGTGTACTTATACAGACATTAAATTATAAGGTGTGTATTGGTAATAGAAATGTTAAAAGGTTGCGCCTTGTGATTAAACGTCCACGTGCGCGAACACGTGTCTCATCATCGGTAATATGCGAAAAGCGAGAGGGGAAACAACATGAGCGTCGATAATAGGTACGTTAAACATTGTAATCAAATAAAGAGGCGCTTCTCTTGATAATCGTTGAATCATTTGCGAACCGGTCAGTCGACGGCCCGCCGACTTACGTAAATCGCCGGTCGTTAGGAAACGGTACAAATAATTACTTTCAGATGAGAAACGACGATTTCCGGCAGTCGTTCCACATGATTTACATGATTTCGTGATGTACTTATTGCATCGGAGGAGAGAGAGAGAGAGAGGCCGAAAGGGAAAACCGGAATGTTCCTAAGCCGAGAGAGTAATCTACTTTTCACGGGAGGGGAAAAAAAGAAAGACGGCGTTTCTATCGACCGGCGCGGTTATGCTCGCAGACGCGTGAAATACATTACGATTAAAACGCGCGCGGCTCGTGTCACGGTTGACGGGTATTACAAAATTCATTGTCGGGTCTGAAACTGTCCTGAGAAATTCTCGATTATTCGCCGCTCTGACGTGAGATCGCTGGTGCATATATAGATCAAGGCAGATTTACAAGAATCGTTATATCGAATCGAGAGTATTAAAGTGTGAAAATATTAAGTAAAATACATATGTAATTATTGTAAATACATATGCAATATATAAAATGCTCGGCTAATTTAAAGTAAAAAAATATTATTAATATAATACTCTAAAGTTTAAAAAGCTATCAGATTATCGGAAGATTAAAAAGAGATATAAAGAAAAATTATAAGGTCAATAAAATTATGTATAAAGGACTCTTGTTAATAAATAAATTTAAAAATGAATAAAGGGCATAAGAGTCAAAAATTAAAACTAATCTTATATGTCAAATTAAAAAAAAAATTTTATTACGAAGATAGAATAGAAGATTGATGTTCTTAACAATATAATATGATATTGACATTAAAATTACATGTTTCGGTTTCTATATTGAGCCATCTTCAGATCTTCAACATCAAAAATATAAAAATAAAATAGATACGCAGTGGATGTTCCAGTTAAGAGTTCTCCAATGAATAAAACTTCGACAAATCAACTGTTCTAATGTAGTTGGTCGACTGAATGCAACCCTTCATTATCATTGGTCCAAATTATGAAAATTAAAACGCAAAAATGAGAAACAATCTGTGATAAAAATTGAATTGAAAAACTATGTATGAAGTTTTTTCAAAGCAGCTTTATCTTGATTGGCTGAATTCCGATGCGCGATCCGCAATTTCAATCCGATCCGCGTCCACCGTCCGTAGTGTGACATGGGCTTAAGGTGCAACAACACATCAAGTTAAGAGAAAATCATACGGAATAACTTTATTTTGACGCCATAGAAAACAAAATGATAACTCTCAGTTATCAAATTTAACTGTTTATCGGCGTTAGGAATCGGAATCGAATCATTTGATTTTGGTTTACTTTTGGGTATTCTTTTTGAGCAAACAAGTTATAGATATCTCGTCGACGTTTTGTTAGGAGCGGAACGATTACTCGTAGCGCAAATCGATCGGGCTCTCGATCGGAGCCTCGGCAATAATGAGCGAAAGTGATCGACCTTAGAACTCCCAGGGGCTTCGATCGATTTCCAGCTGCAGCTCGATTTCTGTGACACGGTGCAGCAAGCAAAAGCACGGCACGCTGCTGTGAAATGGATAGAGGCAGACCTTGAAACGCGATTGGAAAACAGAATACGCGTGCATGTCCGTTAATTATGGACCGCCGCCGCCGCTGTAAAACCGGACGGGCTACGATTCTGAGAACACTTGAAAAATCCTCGTTCTAACCTGAGCAAGCTTATATCAGTCAATTACAGCAATTGTTAAATAATAAAAAAAAAACGTCACGTTAAATGAAATTTGCATACCGCTCAAAAGCTAATAATGCATAATTTATTCAACTGGGTAATTGTTAATTTGAAAAATTTACATAAGATTATTATATATTTAGCTAATATTTATAATATTGAGAAGAAATTTTATTTTATTTAAGATTTTATTACTACCTATTGCTTTCTTATACGGACCTTTTACTGTTTATTACTTTGACTAATACATACGAACTTCCAATTTATATTAATTTATATTTATTCTAATGTATACAATTACAACATCTAAGAACATAAAGACTGCGTTCCTGGAAAATAAGTTTTGTAAATTTTGTAGACATTAAATAGATATCTTAAAAAATTTTGTTAACATTGAAAATGACCCGATCGGTGTCGAAACGTCTGTTGACATTTGTTTTTATTATTAATTTGTAATGTTTATTAATTTGAATTGAAGTATTTGTTTAAATGTCAACATTTGGCCGTTGGCCCTTCTTTTATTTTTTATGTTTTATACTTAAAGAGCCTTCTATTATTTTAATTTAATTTTGTTTTATTATATTGTTTACACACACAAGTGATATTAGTATCCTCTTTCTCTATTTAATTAGAATCCTTTGTATTATAGTTATTGCAATTGCTAGATACGTCGTTATTTAATCGCTCTTGTTGTCCGCATTGTGAAACGTAAAATTTCAAGTCGTGGATTAATCTACAAATTCCGAGCCGCGATAGTTCTACCGTTCGCGTGACGTAACTTTTTACAACACGAAACGTGATGTCTTTTTGCCGGCGGCGTTACCATTCCCGATTATACTGTATCCATTTTGCTTCGCTATTCCCACGATATTGGTGCGACAGGAACAATATATCGTCAAGAAATCGCTTCGGTAAGAAAAAATGAGTAAGAAAAAATAAACCAAAAACTGCACGTAGAGAGTCATGGAACTCTGTCAAGACGCGCAAGCAAAGAACATATACGAGATGACATAATAACCAATAATGACTGAATCGCGAATCCCGGAAGCTAGATTTGCCTGCACAAAGGATCTCGCGCATGTAGTACAAATTCTTTCTCTACCACGTTCATTTCTCTGCGCGAATAATAATTATACGAACAATCGCATGCAGGAAACGTCGTTTACGTCAGACAAATTAGCAGAAATTTCTTTCGATTATCACTTGAATTGATGCGCGCCAGGTATACTTCTTTACAACACTATTGTGATACACGTCATTTCGCGTTTAGAAAACTAATCGTAAGTAATAAGCGTCGTGATCGATCCGCGGATTGTATCTCATCGTGGATTTATTCACGAATCGATCGATCAAGCGCACTAAGATTACGGCGCGCGGCGATCGCGATCGCGATTACGTAAGAATATTGCGACACCCGCGCGTTCACTTAAACCCATTTGTGTGTTTCAGATCCACGAACGCATGACAAGGGAAGAGATGCTATCGGTGTTTTACACGGGACACGAGTCCGGTAAGAATAGCGAAAAAAAGTAACTCACGCGTTATCTTTTCCGGCTTTTTTTAATACCTCATTCCCTCAGGCATTTAAAAAACATCGAATTGCCGGTTAATGCGATTCAAATGCAGAATTGCGATTACACGCGCGTCAAGAATAATAAAATGTCTATTTATTTAACGTAAATGTATATCATTTCTATGCGAGGTATTTCTTAATTAAAGGAAATCGATCGCGTTGCGATCATTTCTCGTGAAATCGATAAAAATCGTTAATTATCGGAGTTTGTTTTGCCGTGGTCGAAAAATATTAAAGAAAATCACATCGGTGTGAAATAAATCTGTTAATTAATTCTCGAAATAAAGTCCATGCCGAATTTAACGATGAATACATTCTACCTGAAACTTTATTCATGTGGAATTTCCATCTTCCTCGTCTTCTCGGCGTGTCCCTGGCAAAGAAATCAAGGGTCAGAGACGCAAATATTTTTCATGCTCGACAACGGGCCGTTAAACTCCAATTCTCCATCGTGAATCATTCTCGATGAATATTCATCTCGATTCCGTCATTCGAGAATCACCATTCTGACGATCTTATAGAAAAAGGGTATCCATTGCCAGCGCGGTCTTCAGCTTGCTGATATTAAATGATCGCGATTCTTTTTAACGACAGCTACACTAGGCATGAGAAATCAACCGGTAACCACCATTAATTCTGAAATGCTAATCTTAACATGCAAACATTGGGAGTGTATATGTTACGTAAAACGTATATTTCAAAAATATTATATCGTTTAAATTATAAACGGAGATTTTTTTTTAATACTCTGGTAAGAAAACAAGAGAATTATAGTTTTTCTTTTGCGAATATAAACATATTTTACATCCTCAAACCGTAGTGCCACCGTACGAAGTCGTGCCTGTGTTGCACACGGTGCATAAGAGGAGCGTGGACGCGAAGCCGCAGATTCATCTGAAGGCCTTCGGCAAAGATATCAGCCTTTCGTTAAAGCCTACGGAAGGGCTATTGACGGCCAACAGCTTGCCGATGTGGATTGTCACCAGGAACGCGTCACAACCGGACGGCCTTCATTACGAGAGGGTGAAGGATGTAAGTGATCTCTTTTCGGCATATTTAATCGTCGAGACTACAATTTTTTAAATACAATTTGAAAGCTCTCTCTCTCTCTTTCAATGCTTATTACTAATCTAAAATATTAGGAGTATAAATAAGTTTTCGCCGTTTGACAAAAGATGGCGCCACCAGTATGTTATGGTTAAAATTGTCTGCTGTTCTCTCTCTTTCAATGCTTATTACTAATCTAAAATATTAGGAGTATAAATAAGTTTTCGCCGTTTAACAAAAGATGGCGCCACCAGTATGTTATGGTTAAAATTGTCTGCTTCAGGAGCCTTAAGTTATGTTTATGACTACCTTGCGCCATCTAGATACAATGCTTTTGAATGTAAAATGGCTGTAATTCTTCTGTAAGCCAATAAACTACATTATCTATCTAAATTGTCTGCTGTAGAACGTCATATCGTAAGGTTGGACATCTGGCAACAACATAACCTTGAAATATTAGCGATTTTGTATCAGCATCATATATCTTTTTTCGTGTGAAAATGTCGAATTTTGAGCCGAATAAGCGTCATTTGCGGGAGCTTCTTTAATTTGAAGAAATCTGCAGCTGAGGCGCATCGATTGGCTGCCTTAAGTGAGAGAAGTTGCCGTGAGTGGTTTCAAAAATTTAAAAACGGTGAATTTGACGTCAAAGACGAAGAACGTAGTTTTGACGTTTTTTGTTTTTTCGACGTGGAATCCACCAATTACCAGAAAGATGGGAAAAAGCAGTGGCTAGCAATTAATGGACAATACTTCGAATAAAACATTAGGTACCCATGTATCTGAGAATGGATTGAAATGGATTAAAATGGATTCAAATTTTCAGAAATACGAATGTTAAAATGAATCCTTTCAATCCAAATACGTTTTTATTCATTTATGGGAATTGCATGGAGCATATGTATCTGTATACTTTTCAATCATAAAATAATATTAGCTTTTTCAGTGCGTTTGTGACCATAGTGAATACTGTTCAATTCAAAATTTTGAATAGGAAACGCAGTTTTTCAATCCAGTTGCATCCAATTGAATCTAATTGACCAATTGAATCCAATTGAATCCAAAAAAAAGTTTTCGCTGTTTAAAATACGAATTCGAATAGACAAAATGTCCAATCCATTTTAATCCATTCTCGGATGCTGGGATACCGTTCTTTCACAATAAATGCCCAATTTTTGATGAAAAAAACGGCAGAAACTTATTTATACACCTAATATTTAAAAACAATAGATCATATAGCTAAAGATTCTGGAAATTTATTTAATAATTTGGTCAGACAGGACTATACACTTTTATCGAATCAGTTTCTAACGAGCGAGTTTCTAATTATTCTAGGTCGGCGTGGATATCGGTGACATCTATCAAGACGCAGAGAACATGGCTTCCATTCTACTACACCGAGACCCGAATGGGAAAGTGCGCGTTGTAAGCGGCCATTCTTTCTTAATGTTCCTTTCGTCACCACCCTATTATTGCGGGTCGTCTTTCGTCAACCAACTCGACTCGCTTAGGACCTGTGTTATAATTATAGCAATATCGCAATTTGCCGTACCGCACGGTGTAACATTTTTACAGCAACGGATGGAAAGAAAGTACAATCGCTAATACAACCATATAAACGATAAAAATTCGCGAAAGATTCATGGACGACAGTTTTACGTGACTATAACTTGTACTTCGGATTACTATTTATATTTTATGAAGATATGGATTATATAAATATATGTATAGAGTAGGTCTCTTTTTAAAATTGTTAAATCTTTAAATCTAAATTGCTTAAAGCCCGTGTCACATTACGGACTTTGGACGCGGATCAGATTGAGATTGTGGATTGCGCATCGGAATTCAGCCAATCAAGACAAAGCAGCTTTATCTTGATTGGCTGAATTCCGATGCGCGATCCATAATTTCAATCCGATCCGCGTCCACAATCCGTAGTGTGACACGGGCATAAGGCTCGTCTACATAGAAATCGAAGACGATCGTGAGGTCTTGAGTCGTAGGAAATTGATCAATTGCAGTCGAATATAAAGAGAGAATACTCGACTAAAATTGATCAATTTCCTGTAATTTGAGATTCTACGACTTCTATGTAATATTCTAGATGAGCCTTTCCTCTGCTACAACGACAATTTATGATCAAACGGGAATGAAAACAGTGTTTTCGCGTATACGATGAATCGCATGAGATTTGTGATGCGTGAGTCAATGGAGATTTATTACGAGTAATTAGAATGTGTTAAAACGAGTGTCTGGCATGTTAGTCCATCGAAATATGTTGTTTCATTGTGAGTCTTCACGGCGTCTATATTTTATAGACATCTACCAAGTTTCGTTATCTTCACAAAATAGTCGTAAACTGTTCTAGCAGACGAGTATTTAGCCGTATATTTAGTGAGCAGTCGCATCGCTTGCTTAAATCTGAGATGAAATCCTGTGGAAAAATGTTGAGAAGTTTACAGTACTTTTTTTATTTTAAACAATTAAGAAAGAAAAAAATTTTTTGCGAAATAAGCGTAATAGTATTATTCTCTACTTAGTTTTGAAAAGACTATAATGAAATTTTAATTCACAGTCTATTGTAGATAATTGAATGAAATAGCATCGTTATATATATGCGGCTGTGGCATTAAAGTTACCTAAATACCGGTGATGCCATGGTTTTGACATTTTCTTCTTGTATTTGCAATCGACGTCTTTCTCGCCTTAGTCAGGACGAAGTCTCGCGTGAAGGGTATTGTGTCTACGAGACAGAAGCCAATAAACTTGTATACATCGATCCTACCTTTCGCCGCAGTCTGCAATTTCGAGAGAGAAAGAAGGACGACGTTGTCCTTCCTAATAATTTCGCGTTTAAACAACCGTGACTTGATTTCTCTTGCAAAGCTCTTAATTGCTCCTCTAAGAAGGAAACAGCTGTATGCTGTGTACGATATTCCTGTATTTGCATTTATCGCATATATAATTCTCATGAAACGCGAAATCCTCGAGGTTTATCCGCTACGTCATAGTACTACGAATATAGTAATTATATCGGGACTTAATCATAGAATGGTTATCGCCAAGCATTTTTTGGGAATAATACGATGTAAATTTTTATGCACTTAAAAAACTAAAAACAAATTTTGTTTATACATTTAAAAACAAAACTTTAAAAAGAAAGAATTTGGAAATAATACGAGAAAAATTCTTATACACCGCGTACATTTAAAAATGAGATTTTTAAGTGGATTACGCCAATTGATTGTCTCCTCAATTAATTAATCTTAATTGCCGTTACTTTCGATACTTTTTGCAGCGAAACAGAATTGAATTTCGCAAGCAACCACGCTACGTGTGTTGCACGTCCGCATGCTTTATCCGAAAGGTCGGGACGATCTAAATTACGCTATTACGCGCGAGATCATTACTCGCGATGCAAATACAAGTAGGTAGGTAATATAACTGGTGCGCGAGCGAGGGCACGGACACATTACAATCACGCGTCGTATCTCGCGGGAGTCGTGAAAGTTAATTGTTATAGATACGAAAAATCTCTCGTTCACCAGAGGAACCAGGGATGGATTCGTGACGGAATTAATATCTCAGTATGACTTTGACTTGGCGATTCGCGCGTAGGAGTTTCAATGAAATTTTAATGAAGACAAGAACATATAATATGTCGTCCAAGCGCGATCACGTATACATAATGCCGTCTGCGGTTACATAACGCGTCGTAAAACCGTTGTTCGAAGTGACCCCGTGCTGTCCTGACCTTTCGCTTTCACTCTCCCTCCCTCTGAGATCTGACCAGTGCACCTCTCGCAGACTGCAGATCGAGCAGCGCGATCGTGTCCGGATCGGGAATAGCGAGTAATTCGACTCACCGTGAAACACGCTCAGCTTGATGGAAACGCTCGATTTAACATGCCCCTCAACTAACGCGCCGTGATTCATACACCACGATATTTACATGTGCAATATTCAAATCTTGCACAATTCGGAGAAAGACTCGAGCGGACACGAGTCGTCAGATAATTATAGATATCAGACTCGGTTTATACGCACCAAGAGTGCGTTTCAACGATCAAACTTAATAAGATTAATCACTTTGAATCTTCTCGAAGTTTATGGCAAGATTATTAATTGTTCATTTGTTACATAATTCTCAAGTCATATTTTCTTATTTATTTATTTATTTATTATTGTTTAGTTCTTTACTTATACAAAGTTTATACATAAGGAGAAATGTTTTATATCTGTCTGTTAAATAAAAACATTGCAGTAATGTTTAGAAAGTCTGTTGACAATTACAGTCACAGTTAATTACGAAGTTTATAAATATATTAAAATGTAGACTACTTGAATGTTATATATATAGTTTATGCAATCTAGTCTTGATTCATTTCTTAAGATGATATATAATATTACAGCCTTGAAAAAAAGGAAGAAAACTAATATTAAGAGTAAAATTTTGCTTTATTCGTTACATCTACAAAATAATTGCTTAATTGCTACTAATTTAAAAAAAGTAATAAATTAGAGATATAATATACATATAAATTAGGTTTTTTAATTCGCATTGAATTAAGATAAAATTTTGTAATCCCGAGTTGGACATTTCCATGACACTCGATTCCACATTCACTATATCCGTTTGATGGATGACTATGTTTGTTTAATAGAATAATTAACTACGTGATTAATTATTCTATTAAAGTGTATATCTTTTCACTCAGGATGGGACCATCGGTTCAGAATTAGTTATCCGGCCACTGCCAGAACGGGTTCTGCAAGACATAGTGAGCAAAGCGACAACTCTTTACGAACCCGAACTACTGCCCAACATAACTAGTAGCGAAGACTTGGAACACACAAGTCATCATATCGTTTTCAGAAAAGTAGATCGAGCTATCGGCGATCAGTACAGTGACTTTTGTGAGTGCAATACATGTGAAAGCTTTCATTTTCGATTTTATTTAAATCGACAGTTTAAACATTGATCTATAAAAAATCGTGTAACTGCAAATATAAGTGCGAATGTTTTCAGCGCTCATGGAACCCGATCACTTAGCCAAGAGATATAGGATTAAGCGTTCGATTAATAGCAGATCGAGGCGTGAAGCACCGTACGTCATTTACCCGGAAATCCTCTGCATTGTGGATTACGATGGGTACAGGTGAGAGTTGGCTAATATCGTCATTGAGAGGCGCGAGAGAATATACGGCCGTAACTTTGATCTTTCCTCATGCAAACATTCCTGCAACCACCTGCATTGACATTTATAATTTCTCTTAACTCTCGCTTCTCTCAATGATGAAACGGATCTTCTCTTTTCAGATTGCACGGAGGCGATAACGTGCAAATAAAGAGATACTTCGTGTCCTTTTGGAACGGAGTTGATCTGAGGTATAAATTACTGAAGGGGCCAAAAATACGTATCAGTATAGCGGGAATAATTATTTCACGGGTAAGAGACAATAGTAAAAAAAAATTAGTACTCCAGTTTATACATATATTATAATCTACACGTCGATAGACCTTATCTTAAAATATGTAAATCCTACTTATCTGACTTTATAATTGTTGAGGAAAGAAAACGTTCTTTGAAGATTGAAGCTGCAGGTGACGGTCTAAATATAAACAGCAGAATTGTGTATTATACTCAGGGACGAGACGCGACACCGTACTTAGAAAGGAATCGCGTGGGAAGAGACGCAATTGACTCGGCAGCCGCTCTGACAGACATGGGCAAATATCTTTTCCGGGAGAGGAGACTTCCTGTATACGACATTGCCGTCGCTGTCACAAAGTAAGAGTGCCCGATCCGTAAAACGGCCTACGTGCGGTGCTGTAACAAGTCACGAAAGTGCCCGCAGAAACGACGACCTCTCTGATGATCCATACTTGTCATTTTGTTTGTCAATTCAACGAGTATTCATGAACTTTATATGACGCAAATGAGAGAAGCGCGAATACATCATTAATGAGTGTTGGATCCTCTCTTAGAAGCGTTCAATAATTAACTTCAATATCTCTCCGCTTCTCTTTTTGCATCACGATAATGTTTATTATAAACGTTTTATTCTCTCTGATGATTTCATACTCTCGATTTTTATTCCGCAAAACAGGTATGATATGTGCCGTCGTAGGAAAGGCGGCCGCTGCACTAAGGGAACTGCCGGTATGGTTTATTACATAGCGATCACACGCTTTACTCTTTTTTTTTTGGTTTCCTTAATTTTTGTAACGTATGATACGGCATTTTTTGCTAGCATGTATAGTGTATATAGTTGACGGTATTATTGACACAGTTGACACGCAGTACATAGTCTAACAAATAAAGTAGAGTTAAGCCCGTGTCACCCTACGGATTGTGGACGCGGATTGGATTGAGATTGCGGATCGCGCATCGGAATTCAGCCAATCAACACAAAGCAGCTTTATCTTGATTGGCTGAATTCCGATGCGCGATCCGCAATCTTAATCCGCGTTCATAATCCGTAGGGTGACACGGGCTTTAGGGAATGTCTTGGGATTCTCGGGGAAGATATTTTTCGAGAAATGTGAGAATCAGGACGAAGCACGTGCTAATTACGTGAGCGACGCGTGTTGCGATAACACAAGCAAATCCGTTGCTCGCGCAAAGACAGCTTCGAACAGAAATATCTTCTTCGCGTGATTCCAACGAGCGAAATTAGAAACTTGTGATCGGTGTCTCGGCGAGACAATGCACTTGTAATTCACCAGAGCTTCTTACGCACATACGCTCGAGCAAAGAGGAACGAATGAGGAGTGGGTATGGTACAACCACTAATCTTAATTTAATTAATAACGCATTATTCGCGGCCGCGCCCGTGCGATGTGCTTTCAAACGCATGGAAACACATAATAGGTTCGCAGATCCATAAAAATCGAAACGCGTATCACTGAATATATAAAATATCGCGCGCATCTCCGAACAGACCAGTTTGGCATTTGCATCGAAAAGTCATAAAGATCGAGTTGAAGTGAGTTTCCTCTGTATAACTCCTTAAAAATAATATAGCGATTCGCAGAATCATTTGTATGTGTAAGTTACATAATACTACGTAGATTGAGCTGGCTTTAATGTAAATCTTTCTTTCCTTCCGACAAATTCGTGTTTTTTTATTACAAGTATTTTGCAACACTTTCAGGCAGGGTTACTCCAATCAGGTGTAAAAATATAGAAAGTAAAGAGAATATTAATCCAACCGGACATTATAATTCAAGTTAATTACCTTATCAAATTTTATTTCTAATGTGTATGAATTTTATTGCGTAATAGTACCTAATATTTCAGCCCTTTGCATTTTTGCAGAATACGTTTTAAACTCGTGAATCAATCAGAATTAATAAAACGAACGGGGCAACAATGCATGCTCATTAAGTCTTCATTTACGCAGATCTACGTGATTTATTAGTTTACGGTTTGTTAGAGGAATTCCTCTTTCAGTTACGAAAGAGTGCGCCATTTGAACGTGAAATCTTGTACAATAAATCGGACCTGTGACGTCTGTCGCGCTTATAATCGAAATGCCAGCTCGCAATCGCGTATGATTAATGGAATCCGATCACCGTTTAATAGGCGGGCATTGATTCGTACACCCCAAACGCGTTCGACCCGGTTTTATGCTTTTACTTATTTATTTATTTTTTGTTTAATATTTCACACATTATGGCTACACGTGCGCTTCCGCAACACGTTTTACGTTCTCCAAGGTTGACGCCTCGAGGACAGAGCGCGTTTCTTGTTTTAAAATTATTTGTTGTGTTTACAGAGATTTTCTAATAAGGGGATTAAAATTGACATAATTTTGGCTACGTTACAAAAGATTACTTTTACGTGTCTTAAGTATCGAAATTCGACTATGCCAAAATTGTGCCGGTTACGAATCCTGGGTACCTATCATGGAACAAAGTTGGAATGGATTCCGATCGGAATTATTCCGTTTTTCCTAAAAAAAAAAAAAAAAAAAAAAAAATAAAGCACAATAGAAATCTAGGAAATAACTGAACAATTCCGATCGGAATCCATTCCGACTTTGTTCCATGATGGGCCTTCTGCAATAAGCCGTAAGTCACAAATCATAAGTCATAAGCTAGAAATGGACCACTCACAGTCGTCAATTTTTAGTTTCTTACTTCCGATTTATGACTTATGGTTTATTGTAGAAGGTCCATGATAGATACTCTGGTCTTTTTGCGACGTTCGCTTCGTGGGTGTTTGCTTTCGACCACACGCAAATCCGCATTTACCGACTATCGCAAGGACATCACGGAACTTTCTCTCAAACTGCAGGGTAGTGTGTTTTATATTTGGCGGTTACAGTTTCTCGAGAGGATGATTATCATTTGTGTTCCAACCCGAGAGAAATCTAGCGAACCACAACACAAATCGAATCGTTTCAAACTCGTTTAAACGACGATTCTATTCTCTCACGTGTTTTTTTTTTTCTATACTATTGTGCAGTATTGTAAAACGATTAATACGAACAGTGTCGAAATTTCACCATCCGAATATTATCTGTCCCGTGACCAGGTTAAAAATATCACCGAGTATGTAAATCTACATGATAAAGAGTCTTTTTGTTATTGCATTGCAGATTAGATATGTGCAGGAGGCAATACGCGAATGATGTGTGCAATAGAGGAACCGCAGGTATGTTTTTTTTTTTTCGAACGAAGAGAGAAATCGTTATTTTTTAGCTCTTTCAACTTTAAGTCTTGCACATTACGCACTGCCTTGTAAAGTTTCAATCTCCAGATTTCCAATTTTCATATTTAGCGCAAAACGCAAGTACAGATAAATAAAGGAAATCTAATAAATTTTGTTGAAAATCAAGAAATTGAAATAGAAACTTTCAAATATTCTATTTACACTGATTTTAATTTTTCGAGACTTGGAAGGCAATCGTAGAAGTTACTCAAAGCGAACTTTCTGTTACATACTTTACTTGCTATGTGTATCAATTTTATTTGTATCGATATCATATATACTTTACTTCTAATGCCTTATATTTATATTCTTCTTTTCTTACGTAATGACTTCATGCGCGCGTCATGAGCAAATCAAGCAATTACCTTTTTCGAACTCTGCTGTTCCCTTGCACAATTGCTTAAAATCTACTTCTATATGTGTTTATTTCTATTTTGCATATATATGATTAAGTTTCCACTGAGGATTAGAGTTGGGTCAGAGTTCAAAAACCGACCAACCGCAGTCGAGCATTCCTCTCTCATTTGACTGTAAGATGGGAATACTCGCCTGTGGTTGGTCGGTTCTTGTACACTAACCCAACTCTAACCCTCGGTGAAAACATAGTCTATGTTAGGTTTCAGTTCTATACAGTGGCGGATCGAGACAATTTTGGCGCATCCCGATCGAACGAATCATACAATAATGAATATTTCTATTCTAGTACTATTCATTTCGAATAAATTGTATTAAAAGCACACCCTAACACGTGTTGACTCATACTGGCATTTTACTTATTGCTTTGGATTTATTCATTTGAGCCTATTGATTATCTTGTTTTTTCATACAATATCGTTGACAAACAAAAAGCACAAATGCAAAATGTAACAAAATCTAAGAAACACTACACCAAGTTAAGAGAAAGTCAAAATGATTTTTTTATTACGAGATTTGACTGTTTATTGATTATAAGTTTATTGAAGTACCAAAATAATTGATACTTCAACTTGACGTCATCTTGATTTTTTGTTGATTTTTATGTGTTTCTTGGGTAGCGACAATTCTATTATATATATAATGGATCCGTCACTGTATCTACAGAATTATTACAGTTTCCGCATTTTATGTATGTACATACTGTTGTTTCACGGTCTTTCATATATTGAATATCATTGCAATTTCCGTAATACACGTATCTCGCTCGTATATTTTTTTTGAACGAAAAACACAAAAGAAACAGTCGCTCAAAATTTAATTTCTCTCTCGTCTTTATTCTCTTTTGTTTCTTTTTATATCACCTGCGCTCTTTGTTCTGTATCTCTCCTGAGTAATAATTTATGACTCTTGTATACCTTTGGCTGCATTACACTGTCATGGATCGTGGTCTTTGGTAAGTCTCTGAAATTACTAAAGAGAACAACGCTAAAGAGAGATGTGCCTACTTTTTCGTAATCGATCGATATTGAATCGGGGGAAGAAAAGGCGATGACTATCCGGTCTATCGATCGGCTAATTCGCAGACATTTCGAACGTAAACCATGCAGTATATCTTCGGCTAACTCTCTCGTTATAACCATTGGGCGACGAATTAACGCCGGATGCATGCCGCATATATATATCGACATAACTATTATAGTTTTTAACATTTACCCATAAACGAATTAATAATAATAAATTAATAATAATCCTCATAAGGCGAAAGCGCGAGATATTAGCACTGTCTATGGTATATTAACAACGCATGTTTCTTCACCGTAAACGCAAACGTAAATATTAAAGCTACGTTGAACATTAAATTACGGATGAGAGCAATCGTATACTTGACGAATCTACAACGTGTCCCTAAAGGCAGGGCTGGGCATGTATTTAAAATACTTTTATTTAAAACACAGTTTTCGCAATAAAAGTAGATTTTATATTTCATATTTTAGTGGCGTGCATGAAAGTATTACATATTTTGTATTTAAAATTGAAAGGTTGAAAGCTTTATGTATTTCATAATTTAAATAATAACATTAATCATCAAAATACAAAATACTTTCAATCTTTTATTATTAATACTGTGTGAAATACAAAATGTAAAATACTTTTATATACTTTCATAAAGTATAAAATGCAGAATAGTTTCATGTACACCGCTGAAATACAAAATATGAATACATGAAAAATATGATACAATCGTAATACTGATTTCAAATAAAAGTATTTTAAATACATGCCCAGCCCTGCCTAAAAGTTAAGATCCCGAGATTTAAAAATATAATAATTAGCATTAACGAACGTTTACGATGAAGACATGCTTCCGTCGCTAATTTAACGAGACAGCTTGCGTTAATACCGAATAGGATTCTAGTAATAATAAAGTAATACTATACCGTTCGATGTATGCACCTAAGCCAAAAAAACGCAAACACAAGGCATGCTAAAGAGTCTCCTCTGCACAGGATTCGCGTACGTCGGCGGGGCGTGCGTCGTGAATAAGCGCCTCGAGAAGGTGAACTCGGTCGCTATCATCGAAGATACCGGCGGATTCAGCGGCATTATCGTCGCTGCGCACGAGGTCGGCCACCTGTAAGTATAAATCAATTCTTTCGCTTCTTCTCACCTTTATCTATCGTTATCTGCGTATATCTCCCTTCTTTCACCTGAAATGGAAAGCGATTGATACTAAAAGTATAAAACTTTTACATTTTATGTGAATCGTAGATTGGGTGCCGTTCACGACGGTTCACCACCGCCTAGCTACCTGGGTGGACCAGGAGCAGAAAAATGTCGATGGGAAGACGGATATATCATGAGCGATCTTAGGCACACCGAGAAGGGCTTCAAATGGTCCCACTGCAGCGTGTCTTCCTTTCATCATTTTCTAAAGTAGGTAAACTGTATGTCGACTTTTAGAACGTAAACTCTGATTTGTTATTGGAAAACATACGAGAGAGAATTTGTGTTATATATATTATTACTTTTACAATAATTTTTTAATTTTTTAAATTGATTTTGACTAGGGGGTTACCAACCGTACTCTTTAAAGAATACATGTACATACTCTTTTCGAGGTCGGAAAACAGTGTACTCTTACTTTTCACTTATTGTACTTTTTTTTTTAAAATGAGACAAAATTTAAAAAATTATTATTTAATATTTATAAATTTATACGAAGTTATGCTTGGTATGTACTAGGTTGTGTTAGGTATTCATATAGTCAGTTCTTATTTGAAGACTGTCTTAAGTAATGGCTGTGTTCAGCAGAGAAGGCAGCTTTGTAACTGTTGCAAAATTCTTGAATATGATTGGTCTTGCCCTTACTTCCTCATTAGATCTAAATGTATAAGCCAATATCATATTCAAGAATTTTACAACAGTTGCAAAACTGCTTTTTCTGCTCAACGCAGTCAATGTCTTAAGACGCGAATGCAGCCCTCTAATTGGTTCGTGACACCTGAAGACTGTACATATATGGTTGTTACATAAAAGATTGAGTTTTTTTTCTAATTTGAATTAATTTTAATTGTCCAATTTTAATAATGTTATATGTATAAATGTAGTTACTAAAACGCAAACAAATATTACTTTTATTATATCAACATATATTTGGAAGTTACATTGCACACATGTCATTTTATTGAATATCTACCGGCAATCAATAGAGAAAACCTTCTTCTCCATTTCCCTTTTTTTTTTTCTTTTGGAAAATATACTCTTTTTGGCAACCAATATACTCTTTTTCTGAGGCCTTGGGTTGGTAACCCTAAATTTTTGACACGATATGCATTAGTGTGTCTATATAGTTCCTATATTTTACAAAGCAATTTACTATGTATAAATAAATAATCAAAAGGGGATCCTAAAGACAATTAATCATATTGGAAATAGCACTTACACACAGACGATTACGTGTTATTGACATATCACTACATCAATACCTTACTCACGCACGCCACACGTATACGTAGATTTTTGTATTGTAATTATGTTTTAATTAGACAACTAAATCTAATTTTAAGAACTCCACGCTGTTTCTTCATGCAAACTACATGCCTGTGGACTACTATTTCTTAAGTACAGATTACGCAGCTTTTATATAAAACAAATGTTGTTACGACGTGCAACGACGTGACAGCTCTGGAGCGCCATATTGGACTAAAAAATGGTAAAGAACTCAATTTTGAAATTTTTTATCGTTTTCAGCATAAATTCTACCTCACAGGCATGTATTAATGCGTATACTTTAATTCTGTAAAAGGATTTTCGAATCTGTGAATGACAAAAAAAGTATTTACGATACAAAAATTATACGATTTAGTCGGTAATACAGACTACTTTAGGATCCCCGAAATACGAAATACGCTGTTCTTGGAATTAAAAGTAAATAGAAATTACTAAATCTAAGCGCTACCGCTTTTATTTTTAGTGGTGATACAGCGACTTGCTTATACAATGCGCCTCACGAAGACGAGGCGCTGCCAAGAGTTCTTCCGGGTAAACTCCTATCCTTAGATGCTCAATGTCGGAAAGATCGTGGAACAAGCGCTTGTTTCGTACGTATTGCAGTCTTTGTAACACGAAAACTGTGCGTAATTAGGTTCGATAATTTCTAAAGTCTTTTTTACTTTAATAGAGCTTTATATAGAATATCAAACCGTGATAGAGTTGGATCCAAGATTATTCTTATGCAAAATGTTACATGTATCGCATGATTCTCACTGATTCACATCTATTTATTCTATTTATTTATTTTTATGTTTTCAACTGTTTATATTTCGTATATTTAGAAAGACGATCGAGTTTGCGCTCAGCTATTCTGTTTCGACGCCGGATCCGGATACTGCGTCGCGTATCGCCCAGCAGCGGAAGGTTCGCCGTGCGGGGATGGTCAGGTAAAACGAGAGAGCGCTTACATGCTTTATAATTACACAGTGCTGGAATTTACTCGTAACTATAAGTAAGCAAGTAAATGCCATTATATTTTACATAACAATTGCCTTATTATCCGTTTGTAAGAAAAATATCTCTCTTTCTCTCTCTCTCTCTCGGCATACACGATATTTCCATTAATGTATACATAATGCAGTTTGCATGACACTATGAGCCATGGTATAGCTTCCGCGACACGTCTGTCGCAATTGTAACGTGTAATTACATTAGACGAAGTGACCTCATAAATCTTGGCTAGTGCCGACAACACGATGCTAATATCATGTAATTTTACATAACAGCGCCGAGATAACAATATTCGACATATATCTTCTCGAGATGTACACTTTGCACAGTTGTTTAATCGCTTGATCGTTTTGACGTTGATTTCCAGTACTGCCTGAACGGGAAGTGCGTCGCGGAGCACGAGAACATAATTCCGGATTATACGCAGAATATTCCGACGTATGTACGCCGAGACAGCATATTCAATTCTGCGATACACACCCGACCGATATTCGCTCATTACAACAACACAGATTACAGGTAATGATCTGACAACTCGAGCGACTCTTCGTTTTGTAACGCGTGCAACAAAACTCGCACGTAACTTTTAATTTTTGAATGCCACGAAAAACGATGAAGAAAATTTATTATTTAAGAAGTACAACATTTTTACATATAGTAATTTAAAGATATAAAAAAATGTATCTTTAAATCTCACAAATTACTGAAAAACTTTTTTAAATTTCGGAATTGGGAATTGTAGGTGGGGGGATGGGTGGGAAGTTATATACAGCATCAGCGATATTTATCAAATAGTATTGACAAGTGTATTTCTAGGTAACCTACTCATGAATTTTAGCATATTGTAACTTCAATTTAAGAATAAAGTGTGAATCAACGTACTTAACCGACTGTTAATCAATTTCAATTAATTGACACCGTCAAAGAAGAATATAGTCGTAGAAATATAGTCGCCGTCGTAAAATACAGTGTACGCAAAAAAATATTTTGCTGCTCCAGCTAAAATTATCGCTGTTTTTTATAGAAAATTTTGTATCATATGCATAGAATTGATAGCACAAATCTAAATTCTATCTCTGTCATCTATATGATTAGATGCAAAACAGATTCAATGTCGCAGTACTTGCTAGAAATTTATCTATTTTAGCTAGATATTATAATTTTCGCTACAATTGTAAGATCACTTTTTTGAGTGTGCAAACATACGCAAGTGCAACACCATATGTAGTAACGCCATGATAATATGCTACACAGGTATCCATGGGAAGCAACACAGAGCATACCATTATCGACCGTAACCGCGTCGACACCGACAACGACGACGACGATAAGGACGTCGACTTTTCCCTACAAACACGTCACAAATCTGTTCGCAACGACAATGTCAAAATATACGCGGACAATTATCAATAACTTATACACCGATCAATACAAGACTAGATACAATAATAATAATAATAGCAGTAACTATAATAACAGCGGTATTGGTGGCGGCATCAGCACCACCACTAGAAGGAACAATTTTTTCAACTTGTATTACACCGTCAGTACCACTCCGAAGGTCACTTACGGTCCAAAAGTTAGTCCTTTCAAGTATAAGAATACGGTGGTATCGTTTTCTACGACGACCAAAGGATATCAGAACGGCCTTCGAAATGACGGCCGCGGTAAGAGAATTCTGAACTAAATCTTGTACCACTTGTTTTTCATTCTTTTTTCTACCTTTCTTTCGACTTTCACAAGACAAGTCATTCATATTGCATGATCGTCTCTTGCCGTTAATGTGACAGATTCTTGGAATCCGACGATCTCTGTGTCTTTTCTATTTCTGCGTCATCTTCTCCAGCAGCAATTCTGCCTGCGAAAAATTTTTTGAGAGACATTGGTCTTGATACGTGCCTCTCTCTCTCTATATATATATGTATATATATATCTACTGTCGTTTTATCAGTACTCTGATAATATTTGCCGATACTTAATATTTTATTATTTTGTATAATGTACATACATGTGTATCTTCTCTGTTTATGTTTCTTCTGTTGTTACTAATGAAAATATGAAAAGTATCATAAACTGAATTTTCATCACATGCAACCAGGATTGGGTAGTAACTAGTTAAAACGTTAAAAGTTAAAAAAAAGTTAATAACTTTTAACTTAACTTAGTTAATTTTAAATGCATTAAATTTTAACTTAACTAAATTACTTTTAAACGTTAACTTTTTAACTTTTTTTTAAGTTAAAAAATTTTTTTATCTCTTTTAAATATCTTAGAAAAATAATAAGATATAATAAGACTAAGGCGGAATCCATAGTCCGAACATAGTCTAAATCTCAAGGTGCTTTAAGATACTAATACAGCTCTCTGATTGGTTCATACACTAGTTTAATACTATCTCGAATCTTGAGTAACATCTATGGATTCCGTCCTAACAGCGTATATTCTGTTCATATTTTAAGATCATCTTAAGTAATTTCTTAAGATGCTAATACAGCCCTCTAATTGGCTTATGCGGTTATGCCTTATGTCGTAAACCTTAGTCCGGATCTACAATAAGTGTTTTAAACCTTAAGTCATAAGAAATTGCCTAATTACAATCAAATATTCTTCTCGTATTCGAATTTAATTGATCAATTTCTTATGGCTTAAGACTTATTAAAAAGTAAACCTAATAATCTATATTGTAGTTATTTAATCTCATTTTAAGAAAAATTAGGACATTTTGATCTAAAAAATAATTTGTTTCGAAATTAACTTTTTTTTTCAATTTGAGTTAATTCAATATTGACGTAACTTACGTTAAGTTAATTTTTTATTCCTTCAACTTTTAACTTAACTTTATTAATTTTGTAAAGCCATTAACTTTAACTTTATTCAGTTCAAAAAAAACATTAACTTACCCAACCCTGCATGCAACCAATCTCATAAATCAATAAAGGTACTTAATACCGATTATCGAAAATTCTCTTCAATTTCATGGAAATGTAATAATATTGATTAAATTAACTCAGAGCTTTAACAGTTTGTCTTTTTTATATATATTTTGTAAATATCTCCTATCGGATTAATATTTAAATGAGTTATAAATGAAAATTCTAATGTTGATTCGATAGAAATGAAACGTATCTTATATCTTCGATGTATAATACTTCTATGTACATAATAAAATCTGCGTGGACGTAAATCCGACGATAAGTGTATTGCAGTTTCCATGGATAACTAATATTTTTTTGTCACACTACTTAATTCTATTTCAGGCTGATATGCATTCTGTAAACTGACCCACATGAACTTCTAATCAAGCGCTATGTATATACCAAATTAAATTTACGTTTCGTACATCAATTCTTTCGTCTTGCTTCTAGGAACCGAGGCCGGTGAATGCACGGACGTGGGGTCAGATTGCGCGGAGCTGATTGACAGGCTAAGAACATGGCTGTGCCATCTACAATCTGTGAAGAGTCGCTGCTGCGCGTCCCTGAAGACGATCTGTGCTGACTAAATAATGACACTATGGACAAAAAATAAGAATGAAAAAGGAAAATCAATTCGTTTACTCGAAGACGTCGTGCTTAGACGCCCGCCACGGATGATGATTTTATTAAGCGCTCTATCGCTTCTCGCCGTCATAACGCAGCATTCGGAAAAGCACCGCATCGATTGGAAGGAGCTCGGGAAAGATCTTTCGCCCCCCGTTTCGTCAATTGTTTCTCTTTCTCTTTCTCGCGGATAGACGAAAAAATCTACGTTAGATTCTCGTGCGGTTCCTCGTTCGCGATAATCATATTTGACTCTTAAAGTAGTAGCTGCGTGTTTTGCATACTTCCTCAGACGTAATTTTTGCAGTACCAATTTTTTCGGTACTAAGATTGTACCGAGCGATGTAGTGAATCTTTAAAAAGGAGCGACTGTCAATCGGAGGGTACGATTGAGATTTCGGCTGCGTTTATATTTATTTAATAAGAAGCGATCTCGCGAAAGACTCGTTACACAGGCACAGGTGCGTCGTGCGTATATTTTTCGCAAGCGTAAAAATGCGCGCGAGTATAAAGCCATTCGGAAATTACGGAAATTGTATAGCGCAAAACAATAAATAAATAGGAATAATTAAAACATCTTTCCTTCTTCTCCTACCTATATGTATATAAGATATAAGTTATATGATTATATTTGTAAATTATATAGAGATATAAAATATTTGAAGAAGTCTGAGATATATTTTAGAGAAAGGAAACCTTTATATCATTCTGTATCTTTCATACAGTTTAATTTGAAAGAAAAGAAGATTAAAAAAGACTAAATAAAAAAATTTTGCACATAAGTTATAATTACATAATTATATAATTCGAATAATATAAAATATTTGTGAAAGCCTAGGATATTTCAGAAAGGAAACTTTTATATCATTCTGTATATTAGTCTAATTTAAAAAAAGAGTAGATTAAAAAATTTAAATAAAAAATATATTACGAATATTTATTTATTTAATTAACTAAAGTTAATGATAGTATTTATGTTAAAAATCACATTAAAATCTGAAAAACAGATACATAAAAGAATATAATTTAAATCTGGATTTTTTTCGAATGTGTACAATTATTAAAGGCATAGAAAGAAACTATACTTATGAGGTTACTCTTTATTAGAATTTTATTAAAAAGATTATATAAAGGAGCTGAAGTAAAGTAGCGATTCTGGAGAAACACAAAAATGATTTGTGTCAGAAATCAAATAATATAATTCTTGAAAAATTTCAATGGCAACGAGGTAGTTATACAGATGATTGATTGATGCTGACAAGAGCAAACTTCGCCGCTGCGTCTCGTAACGTGCCATTATTAATATGCACATAATATTTTTTATTTAGCGTTTGTTAAATGTGCAATTGGCACGGCTTTGCAATTAAATGTTATACGTAAATGTATCCCGAACATCATGGATGCATATCGAAGTTTATAAGTACGTGATAAATGATTTGTTTGACATCGAACAGATCTAAAAGATACTTTGAATGTCAATCGACCAGAGCTGGAAGAATTCAGGAAAGTGTCTTTCGGGAAAGAATTATTATTTGTATAAGACTTCTCGCGCCTTGGACAAGCACATACATAAATTAGATGTAGATCAACGTTTCGACTTAACGATGTCTTGGCGTAATTAGTGTATTCTCTTTTTCTTCTGTTTCTTTTCTTTCTTTTTCTCAAGAGAATTATACGATTATTAATAGTTTTTGCAGATAAAAGTGTTTACCATAAATTGGTATTTCTAAATTCCTATGACTGTTTATTCTTCAAGCGCCTTAACGATTCTATTTAATTAATTAATCAATTAATTTATAATTCTCTCTATTCTATTAATTAATTCGACTTCCTTTGTTTTTATCTTTTTATTTTTTATTGTCCTTCCTTATAAATTTTTGTCTATATAAAATGGTTTAAGTATAATATATTTTTTTTTATTGAAAAATGCAAACACAATTTGAACAAAAAATACAACAATCCCTCAATTTGATCATTGGCAAAATATTTAATTCACGCGGGGTCAGGTTTTCGTATGTTGTCTGTCACACACAAGAATTATGAATTTGTATAATTCTTTCTACATTACTGTGTTCGCACGCAAATCATACATTATATGTACAAGTGTTTTACCGTTTAATCGTGAGCATATAGATCAAATATCGACCAGCTAATTTATACGGGGCGTGAAATAGCCCTTTCTTGTATTCGGGCTACAGGCTTTTTTGTCGGAAGATCGGGACATTCACGAATATTGAGGCACGCGAGCGAAATCGAAGTTTGCAATCCATATTATTTGATGCCGAACAATTTATTTTGTTTCGGTGAAATTACAAGAAACTTGAAGATCATCTTTCGCGAAGGTACTATAAAGAATGTTTCGTGCGATATTTTTATTATGCCTGGCTGGAACACCGTTTTCACGATGCAAGCAGGTAACATTTATATAAGTACAAATGCGTAATTCAGTTATCGTTTGGTCCATATAAAAATAAAAATTTCGGAGCTATAGAATGTTAGAAAAAGGACTATTTTCAGCTTCACGAGTACATGACGCCGAATGAAGTGATGTCCGTTTTTCACAAACCGCACCATCTTGGTAAGTGACAGGATTTCTTTCTTTCAGAAAGATTCTTTTATTTTTATGATATATTTTTTCTTATAAATTATACAATTTTAAACAATAATATGTTAATACTATCGATAATTAAACTAAAATATTTAAATGTTCGCTTTCGAAGATTTAATTGATCTTTCAATATAAAGTTAAGGCTGTAAGCCTCACGCCATAAATACAGCGTATATTGCTGTCATATACCCTAATTTAATATTTATACAATTTTTTTAGATCACTAATAATTAATAATACACTTCTCAACAAAATTAAAGAATCACTTGTTCCACTCTGCAAAAATAGGCAAACTTTGAGATAGAATAACTTCGTGAAAAATCATCGTATCGAGATGTTTAAAAAAGCATTTTAAAGCTTGAAATTTCTACTTTTCAGACCTGTACTTAAAAAAACGGTTTTACTCATTTCGTGAAGTAAAAAGGCCATTTTTATTTAAACGTTAAATAACTAGGTGAAAAAAAATCGTACAGAGCTCAACAAAAAAGCAAATTGAAGGTAAAGATTCACTCTTTCGAAAGCTGTAAACCGCATTTGTGCATAATTTTTACTTGGTTCCGTGGAACTTGGCAAATTTTGTAAAAAATGTTTAGGTTTGACACACTTTTATTTATGATTGTGCAACTTCACAAAATATCAATAAGACCGTTTTTTGAAGTACAGGTCTGAAAAGTAAAGATTTCAAGCTTTAAAATGCTTTTTTAAACATCTCGATACGATGATTCTTCACGAAGTTATTCTATCTCAAAGTTTGCCTATTTTTGCATAGTGGAACAAGTGATCCTTTAATTTTATTGAGAAGTGTATTATAATTACGATTGTAGCACATTACCAAATAATAGCATTAAATTTGCATTAGCTTGTATATTCTCACTTTATATTAACTTTCAGTACCTGAATACGAAGTAGTGCCCGTATTGCATCGCAAGTCGAAGGATGATAAAATGAAAGAAGATATAAACGAACTCAAGATAAAGGTCTTCAACGACGACGTCAAATTGTATTTGAATCCCACGGAAGGAATCCTCGCTAATAAGAATACACCTGTGTGGACTGTTTCATCTAATCCAGAAGCACGCGAAGGATTGCAATACAAGCAAGTACCCAAGGTACGTATGTGCCTTTCAAATTTTATATCTTTAAAATAGTAAAAAAAGATACTATATGTGAGATGGATATACGAAAAAATTTCTTCCTTTATTATCTTCTCATCGTAGGCTATGGATTCTGTAGATATTGTTCTTCAAGACGTACGCACTTCGAGTTCAGTTTTGCTAACTCCTACTCCGGACGGTCAAATACATTTGGTGAAGATTCTAATTGCATTTGTATCGTTAAGTTACTGTCGAAATCAAATATAATAACTTTTTCCTTTTTTTTTAAATACATACAAAATCAATAACGCTCTTCTTTCTGTAGAACGGAGTGCTTAATAATACATACGTCATCAAATCTCTGCCACGACGAATCTTGGATAGTGTTCTTTACGGAGGACGCAAACTTTTTGAGCCGCTTCATAAGAAGAACGTGACGAACGACGATGGCTTTGCTTACACGCATCATCATGTAGTGTATAAGATGCCTTCATCAGACCAATACAAAGATTTTAGTAAGCTATTTAAATACTCACATAAAAATTTCGCATAGTGTCTCATTAAATATTGTGCTCTTGTGGTTCTTCAGAAATTACAGATCCTGAGGACCAGAAAGAGAAACGCAATGTCCCGGACATCATTTATCCAGAATTTTTAGTAGTAGCCGACTACAGTATATATCAGTAAGTGAAGCATATAATGATAATTATAATAATATACGTATAACAAATAATCATAAAATTATTTATAATAAATTAATATATAATATTACTATTTTTTAAAATAAAGTATTCATTTTTATGTTTATTGCAGATTAGTTGGCGGAAATGTCGAGCAGGCCATAAGATACCTTGTCTCATTTTGGAACGGAGTCGATTTGAGATATCGTTTGCTAACTACGCCGAAAATTCGATTTAATATTGCAGGAATAATCATAAGCGTTGTAAGTTTTAGCCTAATATTCAAATACATTTAAATTCTTTATTACATTCAAATACACACGTGTGTATATCACATTAGAGAATATATAAATATCTCCTGGTTATTTTACATCAAAATTTACAAGAATAAGATAACAATTTCTGAGTTAATAATATTTATAACGTATTTAACATATATTTACTATACATTTTTGGAATTATTTTTACGTAATATTTCATTATGTCTCAGGACAAAGATGCAACTCCGTATTTAGAAAACAATCGCTTCGAAGTTTCATCCCTAGATGCAGATCGTGCTCTACGTAGCATGGCAGATTATTTCTATCGCGAGAATAGATTCCCACCAGATTTTTACGACTTAGCGATTGCTATGACAAAGTAAGTATCCGATAATTCCCATACGTTTCAGTTTGCTTAATTTTTAAATCACTTAAAAAACACAACACACATGGACAAAAAAAAAGTGATACAATCCAATATAATTTCAGTCTAGATATGTGCAATATGCTTACCGATGACTTTTGCGACCCATCGACTTTGGGTAAGTCTGCCAAGATAACATGTATGGTAAATGCGCTCTTTTCCATGTACTGCAATTCCATCTGCAAAAATATGAAATAAATGATAAATTTTCGACTGCAGGTTACGCGTACGTAGCTGGTGCATGCGACAGAAACGCAACGAAACAATCATCCGAAGCCGTAGGAATCATTGAAGATAACGGTGGATTTTCCGGTATCATGGTAACGGCTCATGAAGTCGGTCATCTGTAAGTTAAATATATTTGCGTGCATTTTGTATAGTTTTTCTTCAATCACCGTAGGAAGAAATTCGTAAAAAATTATATTTATACTTTTTGGTCAAAAAAGATTTGATTCTACGCGATCTATGCGAGAAAAATATTTGGGATGTAAGAAATAAAAAAAAAATATATTTCTCTCCGTACAAATTTAGTCATTCAATTATTAATGAATTTGGACGTTTGATAATAAAAAGATTTTTTACATTGCAGAATAGGGGCACGTCATGACGGCAATCCAAAAGGCGCCGGAGATTGTCATGCTCATGATGGTTTCATCATGACCAGCGGACTAATGTTACAAGAGAATGGCTTCGAATGGTCCCCGTGTAGTATAGACGCCTTCTATAATTTCATCAAGTACATATCGTGCAAACGTAGCAGTTTTTTTTAAATTAAAGATATTAACTTGAGAATTATTTTAGCGAGGATAGAGCGAAATGCCTTTACAACGAGCCCGTGATGGGTGAACCTGTAACACGTATTTTGCCCGGGACTTTGCTGTCCCTCGATGATCAATGTAACAAAGTCTTCGGAACAGCGGCGTGTAATGTAAGTTAAAGCTGACATATATAATATATAATTTTAGTATATATAAAAAATAAAAAATTAAATCTTTGAAAAAATTTTTAAAGCATTTATAATGTATAGGTATTTATTTATTTTTTTATATAGAAAGACGCCACAGCCTGTACTCGCTTGGACTGTGAATATCCTGGAATTCAGGGCTACTGTAGAGCGACCGCGCCAGCAGCGGAAGGTTCTTCTTGTGGGGACGGTTTGGTGAGTTTTGTTATCGTTTTCATTTTATTTTATATACTCAATTTCTTTAAAAAACAGCTATTATTGTTAGTATTGTAAAAAGAAGATTGTAAGAAATATTTTTGTTGTAGAAATCATAATTACAGATATTATTATTATTAAATGAATTAATTATAAAATATTTATTATCTAATACCTTTCTAGATCTGTCTGAATGGCAAATGTGTGCTGGAAGGAATACTAACTAAAGAAAAGGATAAAGGAAAGAAGAAATTACTTGAAAAATTCCTACCGAAATTCAATTTTCAATCAATTAGAAAGATTCCATGGATGAATTTATTAAAATCACTAAGAGACAAAATAAAGAAAAGATTCTTCACAGAAAAATAAATACGAATGTTTTTGAGGATTGTAAAATCACAAATCATTAAAATTATATTTTTTTGAATGCTATAATAATATCATCTAAAATTCATTGAAATTATCTTACGAATAAAAATAAACATTTAATCTTCTTTTATTATTAATAATTTTATAATCGTATTTGATTCTTTAATATTTAACCTTAATTTTTGATATTTTTACTCGATTTTCTGATAAAATTTCATAATAAACAAATAAATATTCTTTCTTTTTTAAATATTCTAATTTATGTTACAGTGAATCCAATGTTGTGCATAGATGATTTTAAAATTAGCTAGATAAAGATAAAATGAAAATTTGGAGATTTATCTTAAATAAGATAAAGATGATTACATTTAAATTAATCTAGATGATATAGATAAATTTATCTAACAATTCATCTGAAAAATTTCAGATAATTTTTTATTTTTAAGACTATTTATTTGTTTTTAAATTAAGAATCATTTTTTCTCAAAATAATTAAAAAATATTAAATTTAACAATTTTAATATTTAATAACTTGTTTGTCTCTTACAATGTCTCTTACAATTTTCAAAAAAATAATGAAGAATCACATCAAAATTCTATACAGTTCTTTTTCTCTGTATATTAGTCGCATGAAAGCAAGCATGTTTCACAATCGTTGCGGTTATGAATTATGTTGTATTATGAATAATAGTATCTTATAATATTAATAACAACATTCTTTTAAACATAGTGAAAGACACAGTAAAAACTTTTAATGATTTCGGAGTAGTGTCGTCCATGAATCGAGCATCGCGCGCTACGACAAACATCAACGAAGTGAGAAGTAGGAACAGTAGGGCGTGAATACCGACACGACACATTTTGATTTCAAGCAAAAAAACACCGACCTTGGGTTAACCAATCGACGATTGGTTGACCCAGTCGAGCGTTCTAGTGCATGAATAAAAAGATCATTTGAGAGCAACGTGAATGGTTATATATGCTATTAGATGTACCCACTCTCTTTCTAAGGCTGAAAATTTTTCCGCAAATATAAACTACATAGAAGAAAATATTTTAATTTGAAGAAAATTAAATTCTAATTTGATTGCGTAACCTTGAATGACTTTCGTCTTAAAATGCTCTATCAGAATGTAAATAAAAAAACATATTCCATTTAAAAAACAGATTTGACCTTTGCTTATCCTTTATGCAAATCCTCCACCTACAAAACATCACATTATGTGCCTCTCAAAACCCAGCAACTTTTGATAGTTTTCCTTCTATTGTTAAAAACAAGCGAGTTATTCAGGTAATGTGTTTCAAATGCTTCACTCTGTATAGATAATATATTTCACATACAAAAAATTAAAAACTATAATCATGTTATTCTCTCTTAATTACATATAGTTAGACAAACAAAAACTTTCATTTATTAATATTGTTTTTATTAACAATACAATCCAAAGTTCTAGTTAAGAAAAATACTAATTAAGTTTTTATCAAAAATTAATTTTGAATTTGTCAAAATTAAAAATGTTCAATACTTTCATTATGCTACAACTTAAATATAAATTTTAATGTAACTTTGAAAATACAACTAATTGTATTGATGGCTTGATATACATATTTATGAGAAAATATAATACTTTTGAAATGCACAAAATAAATGTTTTGTCTGCTATAATTAAAAATTGTTAAATAATATTGCAGCATGTATTTAGTAACTTAAACTAATTCTATTTAATTCAACATGAATATTTTTATATATGATTTTTGCGCGATAAACTTATATACAGCTTTTCTCACACACATGTAAATAAAATCATATAATACATAAATATATTAATCATTTCAACACAAAACATTTCACTTGTTCATTAAATATAAATATGATTTTACATGTAAGAAACTAAAACAACAAATAAATAGTGTATAATAATTACAACTCCAAAACTTTTGAGAACTGAGATCTTTTCATTATTAAATATTATACAGTCGCTGAATCTATACCTATTTCCTCATATAGCTCCTCTTTGTTACCAGGATAATTTTCCAAAATGCAATCTAGTATTTCAACACATATCTTTTTTCTTTTCAAATATTCATGTGAGTATTCATCAAGACTCTCCTGTGCCTTTCGTTTAGACTCTTGCAAATTTTCAGAACCACTTTTTTCCATCAAGTTATCCAATTTACGTGTTAACTGTTTTACATTTTCCTGCAGAGTAATCTTTTCTTTTTGAACATCTTCCAGTGTCAAACTTGACTTTAGAGAAGCTAAAAGTGCCTCCTGTTCTTTTACTTCTTTCACGACTTCCTGATATTTACTCTCGATCTCATTAGCATGACTTTGTAATTCCTTGTCAATCCTCATTAACTCATCAGTGTCATACTGTGAATTTTGCATGATACAATATATTTTTTGTTTGCCATAAACCTAAGAATAAAATGAGAACATATATATTTTAAATATTCTCTACCCTCATTAAAGCTATATACCTGTTATTACTTTTTCAAACAATTTTCCATTTGTCACCAATTCATCCATAGCTTTTTGAACTGCATTTTTACTGTGTTCATTGTGTAAATTCGTGACTACGTCATTCACGCTGTAAGGTCTATTTTGCATTTTCATATAATTATACACAGCTGTCGCAGTCATTATTGTTGTAATCCTTCACTTAACTGCAAAATAACAATGTATACAACGCTTATATATCATAGTAATATAATTATTGAGGACATCGCAAAAAATCAATATTTTAAAAATAACTAATTACAACACAGATTACATTACAAAAAATAACAACACGCATGCACGCACGCACACATACATATAGATACACATGAATCATATATACACAGAAGATCGGAAGTACTGTTTACAAATTGGCAAACAATACGTAAAGAATATATAATAATATCGAAAAATTACTGTAATTTTGTTGTCAATTTGGCTTATTTCATACATTTGTCTGCTACTTTATAACCACACATCACATCAAAATGCAAAAAACCGGCATTCGCTAGATATTTACTGACAACAGAATACTTGTCAGTGTTACCAACTCTTTGATGACAAATATGATACCCAGAGGATATCTCTCTGGGGATCGATTCTCTCGAAACTAGTCCTGATATCTAGGACTCTACTCGAAACAAAGTGAAAATTTCAAAAGTGAGCAAATTTACTAGGTATTGACCAATGAAATTATAAATGTTCTAGTAAATTCGCTCACATTTGCAATTTTCACCTTATTTCAAGATATAGAATCAATCCCCTGATGATACAAAGTTGGTGAAATTATGCTATTTTCCTAAAAAATATACATTTTCAAAAAAAATTTGATATAAATAAAAAGGATGTTATAAAATCAAATAAATATTTTCTTAAAATGTAATAATATTAAAAATATTATAATAAAAATATAATTTTTTATTAATAACAATTGCACATCCGTAGATACTTATAGCTTATGAAGGCCCGTATTCAGAACGCGCTACATGCTATAATTTACGTCACGTATACTATAGAATTTCAGAGATAAAAGCGCGCTCTTTTATCGATAAAAGTGCGTTCTGAATACGGGCCTGAGAATGTGTAGCATTGTGTTAGGCTGGAATCAGATATAAATCATTATTAAACAAATCAATTAAAGAAGACTCTCGAGAGGTTCAAATAACAAGAATAGACAGGCTAATAGAGAGTCCTTTCAGCTGTTATTGGAGCGATATATAAGATATGTTAAAATGTGAATATTATATACTACGTAAATAGTTACCCCCCCATTGCGCGCCGAACGTTCGTCGAACTTAAAACGCAACTCAAATCAACTACCGTAGTAATATCACGTTCGGCGCGCAATGGGGGATTATTCAGAACGCGCTAACATGCTATAATTTACGTCACGTATACTATAGAATTTCAGAGATAAAAGCGCGCTCTTTTATCGATAAAAGTGCGTTCTGAATACGGGCCTGAGAATGTGTAGCATTGTGTTAGGCTGGAATCAGATATAAATCATTATTACTTTACAACTATAATATTTAAAGAGCTGAAACTTTCCTCAAAAAACTTCCTTAACTAATAAACAAAATTGTAGTACTGGTAAAAGTTGACAAATCGAAAATTCATACGATAACTTTTGTGATCGAATGAACAAAACTACGAATTTGAGAAAATTATTTTGAAAAATTCGGCGTTTGGCTATGAAATGTTTTGAAATATATGCTGTATATTTCGAGAAACATATTAAAGTTTATTCTGTTAAAATTTCAAAGAAAAATATTTATTAAGCCTTATCACAAACAATATAAAAATATTCATATTTGTCTCAGATATGGCGAGTTAAACACAAAAATTTTTTAATTTTTTCAGTAAAAAAATTACTTTTTTTGTTAGTAGAATAGTTAGGTATGTATTCGCTCATGCTGTGTGGATCCAGGGGAAATAAATAGGGGAAATCCAATCGCGTGGCAGCTTTAACTTCCCGCAACTCGCAGGCTCCATGCGTAGACTGCAAGCGCGAGAATGTGTGTGTGGGCACAGTATACAGTAGCGCAACTCTCTGTCGGCACTTTTGATGTTGGTGAAGCCAAAATCGTAGCGCGCATGCGCAAGTTAAGACATTACATACGGTAACGCCATCTAGATATCTCTCTTTCTCTTAAGGTACAATTTCATGCTGACGCTTGACGCTTATTTTTAGCGTCAAATCAGATCACGTGATACAAATTGACGAATGTTAAGCATCAATTTTGATCACGTGATCTGTTTTGACGCTAAAAATAAGCGTCAAGCATCAGCATGAAATTGTACCTTTAGGGCTACGCAGAATAAAAGAAACAGGGAACAGAGAACAGAATACTTTCTCAAAAATATACAAAAAACGAGCACCCGAACCGAGACGCGTCCGCACCGGTCGAGTGGTTCAACGGAACTTTTTTTGATGTTGGTGAAGCCAAAATCGTAGCGCGCATGCGCAAGTTAAGACATTACATACGGTAACGCCATCTAGATATCTCTCTTTCTCTTAAGGTACAATTTCATGCTGACGCTTGACGCTTATTTTTAGCGTCAAATCAGATCACGTGATACAAATTGACGAATGTTAAGCATCAATTTTGATCACGTGATCTGTTTTGACGCTAAAAATAAGCGTCAAGCATCAGCATGAAATTGTACCTTTAGGGCTACGCAGAATAAAAGAAACAGGGAACAGAGAACAGAAAATAAGAATTTCAACCTATCAGAAATCATGTACTGTGGAATAAACAGTGTGTATTCCATAGTACATGATTTCTGATAGGTTGAAATTCTTATTCTCTGTTCTCTGTTCCCTGTTCCTTTCATTCTGCGCAGCCTTAAGCCTTGTGTCCACGATACTGGAAATCGGTCCGAGATCTCGGATGAAGGAAAAATTGACCAATTACATTGGTCATGTGACCAAATTGGTTCAAATGCGATTTGTTAATTCTTTCTTCATCCGAGATCTTGGACCGATTTCTAGCATCGTGGACACAAGGCTTTAGGGCTATGGCAGAGAACGAGACGTAACATGCGTAGTCGTAACGTAAGGTAAGGCAGAGAAAAACGTAGCTGTGTAGTAGTGACTGCCAGTGCTGCCAGTCACTACTACACAGCTACGTTTTTCTCTGCCTTACCTTACGTTACGACTACGCATGTTACGTCTCGTTCTCTGCCATAGCCCTAATTACTCTCTTAGGTTGTCGCACACACCTTCCGAATTCTTTCTCTCAATTCTGAATATTCTGATTGATTGATTCTTACGTTATGTTTTATGCATATACTCGTATGTAATACTCCTGCAGCACACCAGAAGAAAGAGACGTGAATGTTATATCGGCACCGTGATATTGGCACCGCTCCAATTCATTGTCAAGATAGAGCACTAGCAATATAGGAGTATTACAAATATGGTTTTATGTTACTGTTACGGAAGGTCGTGTGTGGTTTCTTTTATCCTGTCCGAACCGTAGACTCTGTCTACAGTCCAAATAATATCTTTCTATAAAAGCGATGTCTACTACATGAGATTTGAAGTCATTAAAAATTAAGCCATCAGAAATTAACAAATCATAATGGATTATGTTGTCCTGACGATTCTTATGCCTTAAAATTTAATCGTAAATGAAATTGCTGGTTAATTTATTAAAATATTAAAGAAATCTGATTATAAAAAAGTAAAATATATATAATTAAATTATATATATGTAATTTATAAATTAAAATTAATAAACCTCCCAGGTCAAGACAATTGAGCTATACTGGTTGTTAGATATATACATATATAAATTTATTATAATAATAACACTGATATACGGAATATTTCGACGAATATAAACGCCTGAATAACTTCAAAATGACATTACTCGGTCAAAAAAAATCGTAGAGACTCGAATTTTTTTTCAAATTGTTGAAAAGTACACTTTACGATGGTCTATGTGGTATTTTTGAAAAAAAATTGGGGCGATCCAGGTAACGCGTCAAACAATCAAATTCTTTAAGAAAAAAATGCCTGGACTTTATCAAAACATGGAGATGCGGCATCGACTTGCATCAATTTCGTATCAAGTTTTGCGTAAAGTACAGATAATTACCTACAAAATGAAAAAAAATCGTCTTAATACGATGAAAATTGACCGAGTTATGGGCATTTGAAAAATGACAAAATTTCGATGAAAAATTTTGTTGCGTAGTGTATACTTACATTTTTTATCTTTTATCTCTCTCTTACTAGATATGTTACTTCGATTATTCGGATCATCTTAGTAATCCAAAAAGAGAGAAAAAAGAGAAGACATATAGAACATGACTGTTCAGCTTTTTATGTTTTATTTTGTTTCCCTTTTTGTTTCCCTTTTGTTTCCCTATTTCCTTAATGATATGAAAGAATCTAAATATATATAAATGAATAAAAATCTCTTACAATAACTTATTAAAAATATTTTTCTGCTATATTTTATACATATATAGGGTGGCTCATTTTAATCGACGCACCCGAATATCTCCTAAAAT